GGGGTTTAGGGTTTAGGGATGGCGGTACAGAGTTCAAAGGCTTCCAGGGTTTGCCGCCCAGCCCAAACCCAAGCAACAAACCATTGGTTCGCCCGATCTCCCCTGAACATGAAAACTGAAAGCCTAAACCCTAGCCTGAACCCTAAACCCTAAACCCTAAACCCTAAACCTTAAACCCTAAACCCTAAACCCTAGCCTAAACTCTAAACCTGAAACCCTACAACCTAAACCCCGACGGTAATTTCTCTATATGTCCTGAGTGCCGTGCAAGAAACAGCAGCATGCAGCTATGCTGCATATACGCATGGCCTGTCACGAGCGCTCCATCCGAGGGTCTGGGACAAACTTAGAGGGTCATGGGACTTGGTAGCCAGGATTCTTCATATGTTAGCTGCACTTATACTTAAATTACTTTGACCCCAAGCCGGTAATTATATGCCCTTACTTACTACGTCCCATGATCCTCCAAGTAGCTTCCTTCAAACGTTCCTAAAAGGTTGCTATACTGGTGTTCTGTGCCAACGGATTGCATATTGGTTTAGGTTTAGGGATTCGGGTTCAGGAAGTAGGTGGCATGGCTGGATGGCATGCCCCAGGCTGCCGAGTGGGGTTTAGGATTTAGGGTTGGATTCCACATGTCTTAATTGCAGCGCCGAGCCCGTGAACCCGCATTACCCATCGAGACAAGACCGCTATCACCCAAAAACAAAACTATTCCCGCTGGTCACAACCAGCAGAAAGACTAAAGCTACAAAAACGAGACAGACGTGTATGTTTCACAGTTATTCCCCTGTCTCTTGTGAAACAACAATCTTTCGGCCCAGAGGCGTCTCAGAACACACCACCGAACACAAGATAAGAGAGGAATCGAAGCCATAGAAATCCCTAAACTGGATTTGAGACCTTTGAAGCTCAAGGCTTAAGGTGCAACTAAGCCTTCTTTTGGCAGCATGAGTTTGGGGCTTGGGGTTGAGGAGCTACCTTCGTGCGGCAAAATCCTCTTTCTGTGGTGTTGTGTTCAGCAATGCCAAGCAAGATTCAAGTGCTTCCCGTTCAGCTGTCTGGGATTTTGTGTTTGATGGTGTAGTGTTTGGAATGCAAGTTTTTGGGATTTAGGGTCTGGGATGTACGGTTAGATGTCGGAGGGGGGAAGCAAACAAACGTGCTAGACACTTGCAACTCAACCGTGGCGGGAGCACGTAAAATAATTTGGCAAACCAGTCATCGGTTACTTGAGCCAAGCCGAAACAGCTGCCAGTCGGAGCACCGTCACCATCTTATCGCCTCAAACAAAGAATCGAAACTAAGGGAGATATCCACCAACTGCTGCACATCGGACAATGACCTGGAGGGCGGTAGATAATAACGCCTACTAGTTGTTGTGCTCTGTCAGCACGAGCTTCTCGCTTCTTGAAGACATTTCGGGGTGCTGCACTCATGCACAACAACAAACTCAATTTTACATGCCTGGGCAAGCCCAAACAATAAACGACCGAAAACAACGGTGAGATGGATCTGCAACATCTGCCAGGTTTGACAACTCCAACGACTTGGTGATGTTCAACAGTTGGAAGGGCGGCAGACATGTGACAGGAGGGCTATCGAACAGTTTACAGCACATACCGTTGCGGATGCCGCTCCGAAAGCCGCACATAAGCACTGCAGGACAAAGTCAAGGCCTTCAGGAAAGCAACACGCGACCCATTTATCCGCTCGCACGTACGACGTAAGTGCAGATTTGGACCGCCTCACCCATCTGCAAAGGGGATGTACACCGCCCGCAGCTTGACTTCGCCATGAGCTAGTCTCATGGAAAGGCTTTGTTGCAGGCGTCCTCGTGCCCCATTTTTCGCTTATGGCGTCCTTTCCCCAACTTGTTTGGTACCTTGCCTCAGTTCTGCCGCGGGCGCAAGGTCGAAAACTATGGGCGGCTGTATGGGGGCATACTCCTCAGTGCAAGTGGCCGCATTTACGAACAAAGTGGTTCCATCCGTGGCAGTGCCGTGTCCCATGTGCAGGTGTCCAGTCACCACAACGGGGATGCTGCGCCTCTGGATGGCTGTCAGTAAATCTACATCTCCCTTTCCCCCCACCGGGGTGACGTCCACATATCCAGCTGGCGGGCCGTGCACCACGAGGATGTCCGTATCCCATGGTATGGCTGCCCAACACTTCTGCAGTGCCTCACCCCGCGGCAGGTTGAAGGCCCAGTCATTAATGTCGGGCTGCCAGGGGGACCCATAAATCCGGTAGCCTTGCACTTCGACAGACGTATCCTCCAAGTATGTGCAACAGGTGAGGGATCGCTTGGCTTGGCTGGAATTGTAGCGCAAGCCGCCATGAAACCGCTGAGCCCCACGCGATACGTAGTAATCCTCTTGGAAAGTGATGTCGTGATTGCCTGCAACCAGCACTTTCCTCTTTGCTGGATAATCCTCCAGCCACCTGTTGAAGGATCGAACTTGCTCCAGTTCTCCAGTATTGCTGAAGTCTCCTGCATGTAGCAAAACATCGGCAGGGGGCAGGTGTTCACTGGGAATTGAAAAGTGATGGCCATGCGTATCACTGAAGCAGACGAAGCGTGTCCATCCACTTGGTGGCGGCGATGTCCAGGGTGCAGGCACCAATCGGATCACGTCTTGAGGAGGACTAAAGTGCTCTCGCTGCTCGAAATCTGTAAAGCCGCTGGATTTGAAAACCCCATACCAGAGGCTCAGCAGAGCTGCTACAGAGAGGCCCATTGCAGCTGCCAGGAATTGGCTGGACGGCGCCACGCGGCCCATCAGTAGGTCAGAGCAGCAGAACATGCCACATCTTAGCCACATCTTTAATGCTTGGTCTCAGACGTCAGTTTTCAGAAACAGCATCACAGCCTTTAGGAGCCTATCCTGGCAAGCAGCCCAAGACTACATAATGTCAACGCACCAGAGCATCCGACAGTAGAGGTGTAGCCAAGATGTCCTGACCCAGAATGCTTCGGATTTTCATCCACTTCGCATCGCAGTCGCCCAGGCGCCGTGTCGACCTCAGTGGAAATGTAAAGGCTCCAGGTCGGCTACTGTACGATCATAGTGACAGTTGAATATTCTACTGCGGGTTAGGGGTTAGGGCTGATGATATAAATCCATAAAGGTTTAGGGCTTGGGGTTTTGGGTTTATGATAGAAATCCTGCATTACCCATAATGAGGAATATATACCGTAATACCCATAGTTTAGGGCCTTTAAGGTAATGCAGGACTCAGGAACTATATCATCAACACTATGTTAATGATTCCCTAAACCCTAAACCCTAATCCGTGCACTCTGAGACTCTGAAAGTCTGGGTCTAGGGTGACCTAAACCCTAAACCCTAAACCCTCGGTTTAGGGTTTAGGGTTTAGGGTTTAGGGTTTAGGGTTTAGGGTTTAGGGTTTCGGGTTTCGGGTTTAGGGTTTCGGGTTTAAGATTTTCGGGCTTAGGGTTCAAGGTCGAGGCTGCAGGTTACGGGCTGAAGCTTTGGGCAGAGCATCTCGGGTTAGCAGGTGCTCCAGCTTCTGCTGGCTATTTCGATGAAGGAACCTGGGTTTGGGGTTTAGGGTTTGGGGTTTTAGGGTTTAGGGTTTAGGGTTTAGGGTTTAGGGTTTAGGGTTTGGGGTTTTAGGAAGAAGCCAAAGGGGCACCACTGGGTAACGTAAGCAGCCTACAATCAAACATCATCTTAAACCCTTACGCCCTAGTTGGGTTGAGGGACTCGGGTTTTTGCAGGTTTGGAGCATCCATGCTAGTCAATTGCAGATCTCCTTCCACCCCTTAAACTTAACCCTAAACCGACTCGCTGTGACGTGTACTCGTGTACTACCGCTGGCTTGCACTGCACCGGTACGTATACATTACATCCCAAACCCAGATGAAATTGCGAGCCCAGGGTCCGTACTAGGAGGCAATGTGCCCTCTTCACCCTAAAACTTTAACCCTAAACTCTAAACCCT